GTTATAATACTTTTTTGTATACATTTTAATTCCTTTAACAGTTCTGATTATCAGACAGACTTCTATCCATATTAGATAGAACTGTTAAATGGCAATGGCAAACAATGAAGAGGGAGAATGTGAGCGCTGTGTGCTGCCATTCTCAGTGCCGTCAAAATAAAAGTCCTGCCTTGAACACATTGGCCAAACAGACAAAATTATCAGCTGATGCTGATATTTGAAAAATACCAAATATTGGCTGATATATCGGCCTTGGTGATATATCATAGACCACTAGTATTTAGTGGTTTCCAAAACTTCATTAATATCATAAAGTGGGTACCTGCAACTCTGTGTGGTATTGAGTTTGCATGCTTGCTCAGGAAGTTCTTGTTGAAAGTCTTGGGGTCACTCTCTCCAAACAGTTTTGTGATCTCCTGCTTCAGAACTGTCTGCACAGCCTCCGGCATGTCCTTACTGTCCGACACTGAAAACAAATCTTAATGTTCTTGTATGTTTTTTTTGTCCCATGTGGGGAAAGTATATTAGTATATACTATATGTACCTCCTTTAAAGAATCGCACCAAACACTGGTGGAGCCAGGGGTGATCAGGGTCCAATGAGTAAGCTCTCTTCACCGATTGCAGCATCAAAAGATACTTCTCTACAAACACAAACACACATTATGAGTTTTAAATCACGCATCCTGAAACATTATGAAGCACTATGATAAAGTTCATCAGTATGCTCACCTTTCCTGAGGTAGATCTCAAAGGCCATCAGATGCGTCTCTATTTTATTCTTTACTAAGTTCTTCAGAGGAGTCAGAAACTTTACCGCTTCTTCTAGAGGATTCTCAACCTACAGACAGAAAACAGCACATTCAGATGAACACAATCAAAATATTTCATCCTCTAAAGTATAAGTGGCTTTGTCAACATATGCACCTTTGCCAGTTTTTCTGGTATGAGCTCCTCTTTAGGTCCTCCAATCTCCTCCTCATCCTCCTCTTTTTTCTTCTTTTGGTTTTTTAGCAGTTTCTCTTTCTCAGCATTTTTCTTCTCCTCCTCTAATTGGGCTTTCTTTTGGGCACGTCTTTGTTTGTTGCGCAATTTCTTCAGCTCCTTGTCCGTTAGGTTGGCTACAGAAAAAAACAAAACTCACCTCACTTTTCTGTACATTTTTCCCAAAAAACAAGGATGGACCTCTAAAGTTTGAAAGTGTTTTGTGTGCATGACTAGAGATGTAACGATTGCAATTTTCTTGGCTGATTCCGATTTCCAATTTTTTTTGTAAGTGTGACCTGCCGATACCGATTTTTGTTGATTCCGAATTTCAGAACTATAACTGACAGCATGTACAAACAAAAATCTACTTTCTTTTTTTTAATGCAAAAAAATACAAAAGAGATGATTAAACATTACAATTTCCCCCAATCTGGACCAAGTTACATATGTACTCTCACTTAAACAACTCTCAAAATAAAGTGCTCTGTGACTGGAA